TATATATATATATATATATATATATATATATATATATATATATATATATATATATATATATATCAACTTCGGATTCTGTAATTAATATAATTAAATCCAATTCCAAAACAAAATTTCAAGATACATTAAGCTCATTCTGCTTAGATCAGACCAAAATTAATAATTAAAAGTTAAAGGTAGTCCGGTTAACTTTGACAACGGGACGTCAATCACCTTAGTCTCCTCCCATCCCTGAAACCATGGGTGCTGTAAAGCACCCAAAATGTCGAGAGTTAAAAACAAGTTAAATTAAACACGTTTTAATCCATAATACGTGCATATATTAAACCATAAACAAAACATGATATTATATTTTAACCTACGTTATGGGTTTCTCCCATTCCATTGGAGGAAAGATTTGCCGTAATCAATACGGACGGATTACCGCTATATATAGCAGGGAAAGTGATTTTTCAAAATATATTATATAATTATACGCTGGGCGTTGCAATTATGAACTGCGGACGCACGTAATTGTACTATTGAGCAAGCCATAAAGCATTGAACTGCAGGCAGTGTAAATTAAATTGGCTTATAATCTGTTGTAAAAATTCTTTCTTTATTAATGACGTGTTTTTTTAGTTCAAAAACAGCTACAAGCTTGAGTTTAAGCTCAGACTTATGAATGTCAAAATTTGTGTCAACGTCACAATATATTTTCATTTATTCATTCATTAATTACAGCTTACTAACATAAATGCACATTATTACGAACAAATATACAGAAATAATTATTTACAGACCACAGAAATTGTTGTATGGAATGTGAACCCGTGCCCCGCAATGCCGGAGCCAACCGCTTACTCACTGCGCTACGGAATCATGAATATGGGGCTGAAGTACATATTTATTTATATATTTTTGCCCATTTCCGTACGAAATAAAGTCATAAATTTTAAATCAAAATTGTATCGATACTTTTGGTATTCAATGAATATGCTGCAGATGTAGTGTTGCAATGAACAATTGTTATTTTGGTAAGGCTATTTATTATTACAGTTGGAAATTCGAATAAAGATAACAAAAGTTAAAATACATTTTACATATTTTAACCCAACGCCAATACAAATTATATCATTTTAATATATCTTGTTAAGAAACAAACTGTTGAAATTGTTGGATTCCGCAATATTATCTAAAATAACAGCCTTACGTCCCACCAATATTGTACTATAAGTTGTGTTTACGTCAAGTGTGAGTTATTTAAAACAAAATTATTATAGTTTTAGTTCAAGGGCATAGAGAATCCAAATATTATATAGGGATAAAGTAATCAATTTTTATAATACAGATTACAATAATTAGTATTTTAATATGTCATAAAAAACTCCGATGCAAAACAAAAGCAATTTGAATTTTTGAATAACGATTAAACAGTAGAACATCATAAGTTGATAATTTCAATTAACTATTAATTTTAATTAACTACAGTTACGGCCATCACGCAATCAACAGTGTATTAATAATTATAGTGTCCATTCACTTGGACATTTTCCATTTACGACTGTGAACTGGCAACCGGTCCTATCTCAATTTTTTGAAGATTTCACTTTTTGATGCAATTTTATACTATTTCATACTCCGCAACGCTGCTATAAATCCCATCTCAGATACGTTTAAATTTGGCACCTGAATCGACTTCATTCAACTTGTACTAACTTTGACGCACAGTGAATGCGAGCATTTAATACTATCTCGCCAAAAGTGTACGGACAAAAACGCGATTTCGCGCGCTCTTGAATCAAAAATAACTGTTTTATGTGAATTTGTTAGGTTTCTGTGCCATAAGTTATTAGTTATCATTATTGGGGACTTCTAGTAGCTGTAATGGTATGTTTTCATTATTAACTAATCATTAATATTTAATATTTCTACCTTAAAAAACTATAAATCGAGATAGTACATTATGCATCGACGTTAAAAGTGTTAGCAGATTGGAATGACTGAGAGATAGTACTTTGTGGTTCTATTCAACTAGGGATAACATCAACCAAAAATACCTTTCGCTAGATTTACCTTTATATAGGTATACAATAAATTACGTGCTTTTAAGATGCACGATTCCGCTATAAGTAGGCATCTAACAAAATTTTATGATATTACTGTATTATTCAAGTGCCATTAGCATGAACTGCTTGCCCTTTAACCGCCGCGTCGCACTGGCTTGCGGGATAAGAATTGCAGAATGTGGTTATTACTACCTACCCGCCTCTTAACTAACTAACCACAAGCTTGGTTGGGTTTATTGTAGCGTAAATACATACAAAATAAAAACCAAAATTGGATAAGCAAAGGAATCAAAGTAAGTTGTAAAGAAAAACGAACGTTAAGATTTAAATATTATAAAAATAAAAGTAAGGCTAACAGACTACGTTACCTATCATATTCTAAGCTCTTAAAATGTGTATTTAATTTAAAAAAGAATGCTAACATTAAGTTTATAAATAAAAATAATAACAAATGTAAAGCAACATGGAACATTATCAAAAAAGAAATATCTAACCCATATGACAAGAAAAATATAGAAAAAATTATAGCTAATAATAAAGTACTAACGAAGACTGTAGATATAGCTTCTGCCTTTAACAATCATTTTATTGATTTGACCCGTGAATCAACAACACACACTAAAGCGAAAAATGTAACCATTAACAGCACGAATGTCAACTCTATGTTTCTTAGACCTATGTCTGAAAATGAGGTTAAAAGGGAAATAATGCTATTAAAAAATACTAGCTCTGAAGTCCACGATGACATAAACACAAACATAATAAGAAAATGTATAGTTGAATTAATTGAAATCTTGACATATTTAATAAATTTTTCATTTTCGTGTGGAATTTTTCCAGATACATTGAAACTATCAATAGTTAAGTCGCTGTTTAAAAAGGAGAGAAAGATGATATTAATAACTATCGACCAATAACCCTAATATCCGTAATATCAAAAATATATGAAAAATGAATGTATAAAAGACTTATTGAATTTTGTAATAAATATCACATTATATCAAACGACGGTACGGCTTTCAAAAAGATAAATCTACAACTTTGGCGATATTTTCACTCATAAAAATAATACTATCAAATATCAATAATAATAATTTCACAACGGGACTATTTTTTGACCTATCTAAAGCCTTTGACCTAGTTTCACATGACCTATTGTTACCGAAATTGGAAAAGATTGGAATTAGAGGACCAACCCTTCATTGGATAACATCATATATTTATAATAGACAACAATGTGTTATTATTACTAAAGCAGATGTAAATGGGGACATAATTCCATACTCGTCCGAATACCGAAACAAGAAATATGGCGTTCCACAGGGAAGTGTTCTCGGTCCAATTCTGTTTTTGTTGTACTTAAATGACATTGTTAATATTACGAAGCATAAATGTATTCTATTTGCTGATGACATTTCAATAATTGTAACTTCCAATAAAAAAAAATAATAACTTGAGTGACCATCAAGCTGACATAAATAATACAATAGATACTTTAATTAACTGGGTTGACATACATAATTTAAAAATTAATTTACACAAATCTTTACATATACAATTTAATAAATGCACTAATAATAAACATAATCTTAAACTTAAAAATAAAAGCAGCTAGTCATACGAAATCTTTAGGTTTAATTATAGAAGATGATATAAATTGGAAATTACATGTAAGTGATGTCTCTATCAAAATAAATAAATTCGTGTATGCACTTAAACAAATAAAAAACATAACAACATATGTAGAATCTCTACGGTACTACGGTATGGTCTTATAATGTGGGAAAACAGCACTGATCAAAACAAAGCATTTGTCGCGCAAAAAAAAATGCATTATAGCTATATGTGGGCAAAAACCAAATGAATCGTGTCAACCAGTGTTTAAAAAACTTGGCTTATTACCACTACCATCACTTTATATCTATGAAGTATGCATGTTTGTACATAAGCACAAAACGTTGTTTACAACGATAGATGATGGAAATCCCCGCAATCGTCGAGATCCATATAGACTTGTACTAAACGATAATCCTAGAATAAGAAAATGTAATAAAAGTTGTTTATTTATGTGTGTTCACTTATATTATAAGATACCTAATTACTTAAAAATATTAAATACAAGATCATTTAAATTAAAACTGTATCAGTGGCTAAATAATTGTAATTTCTATAGTGTCAAGGATTTTTTGTAGCCAAAAATATTAATGTAAAAAAAATTTGCATGCTATGAATAACCATAGCAAAACATTCTGATCTGAAACGTTCTGTAAAATCTATTATATACCATGTTTTATGCAAATAAATTATTATTATTATTAAACATTTATGGAAAGCATTTATAATTTCAAACGATTTATCCGTCTTGATATACGCTGCTCTAATACCATTTTGGCTACTACTTTTACCTACACCTACTCTTTTCAGGAGTATAATAAGTTGAGATGTGGTAAACGCATGGTACAGGAAGTACTTAATGGCGATAAAAATAAAGAAAATGCTAAGGTATGTGATTTTTATCTGTATTATAATAAAACTTATCAAAAAAATAAATAAACGAAAGTGACGAAATAAATAAATAATGTGTTAGTACGTAACTAAATCTGCTGAGGTATTGGCTTATTATATATCTAATAGGTTTACTTTTGTACATTTTAGGATAACATAGGTTTTGAACATACGAATATGTCTAGCCAGAAAAATACAGTACCTTTTACCATGTCTAACCACCAAGAAACAGTCCCTTTTACCGTTCTAACCAGCAAACCCTTTTACTATATCTAACCAGTAAGAAACAGTCCCTTTTACCGTTGCAAAAAGGCCTTTACCATGTCTAACCAGCCAGAAACAGTCCATTTTACCATGTCTAACCAGCAAAAAACAGTCCATTTAATAGTACTTACGGGAGACACCTGTTATACTGAGGACATACATTTTAACCCAAATATGGACACTATGTTTGATTCTCTACCTGCAGATTATTTATCTCCACGGTTCGTTCCTTCGCCATCCTACCAGTCAGCCGTACTCGATTTTCAACATAACATGAATGATGGTTACATAAACGACGAAGCCTGTTTAGATAAACCAAACATGTCACTCAGCCCGCTACCATCCACGTCCCCAAATTTCCCTTCAAACATGTCATTAAGTTCGTCTCCGAATACGCCACTGAACGCACTTCGAAACACATTACCATCAAGCGAAGAATCTCCCGTGTCACCATCAATTTTAACGACAAATGATACCGTAGAAAATAGTGCTGGTCAAGTAGCAGAAAACGTGCAAGGAAAATTTTCAGAGAATGACCCCAATAATTATAATATGAGTGAAGGAAGGAAAAGAAGAAAGAAAGCTGAGCCGGCTAAATGGAAGAGAAACATTATTAAAAAACTGCGAGTGGAAGGAAAAGTTGGAAAAGCTGTTGTATATAGCAAGAGAAGAACGAATAATGAAGCCAACATGTTCTAGTAATGTTCGTTTAAAGTCTAAAAAACTTCATTGCTCATTAATTACGGAAGAACAGAGGAAAACGATTTACGACCGATTTTGGAGTTTGACTTGGGAAGAACGCAAAGCATTTGTGTGTGGATCGGTTTCTAGAGTTCCAACGAAAGCATACTACTGACGGTGTTTCTCGACGCAACTATAGCTTTAAATATAGTTTGAATAATGGACAAGAGAGCTGTCAGGTTTGTCGAGAAATGTTTATAAATATGGTTGTTATTGGGTATAGAATGGTTCAAGCATGGGTAAGTGGGAGCTCGCATGGAAGACCTGACTTCAAAAGATAAAAATACCACACCAAATTATAATCTTTTATCACAAATTGAGTGTCTAAATAAGTTTTTCGATAATCTTCTAAAAATGCCGTCTCATTACAATAGACAGAATTCAACAAAACTCTATCTAGAACCCAATTTTCAAACAATACAAGAGGTTTATAAATTATAAGAGTTGACGTGTACTCAGACATTGCAACTAGTCTTCAGCCGCAAACAATTTAGTAAAGTTATGGTTGAAAAAAAAATTCATTATTTAATGTAAAAAAAGATAAATACAACTTATGCGCCGGTTATGATACTAAAAATGTACAAGAAGAAGTTTGGAAGGAGCAAACAGCGAAGAAAGAGATTGCTAGAATGGAAAAACGCGAGGATATAAAGAAAGCTATTGAAAGAAAAATAATTTTAATAGAAGCAGATTTTCAAGCTGTAAAGCTAGCTATATTTACCCACGCTAATGTTTTTTATTCCAAAACAAAGCTACCTTGTCATAACTCGACAATTTACGATGTTGTAAAAAAGCAAGCCATCAGCAATCCTTTAAAAAAAAATTCCTTAAAAAAACCAGTTGTAATATGGTGTAGCACAAAACGCAAAAGCACGCATGAACATATGATCCTTCAGGACTAATCAGGGTGAAACTTGATTTTACCAAGGATTGGATGGACTTACCTCATAGACCAAAGAGATTCAATCCAGTGAACTGTTACCCACCCATATTTACATCAAGATGCCGTATTCCTAAAACGAAGTGGTTGCACCTCCAAGAATTGAAAGCTGTCATTCCTCAAGATTGTCATAACTTTTATGATAATTTGCCTTATCAGGAATAATTTGATCCCAAAGAGAACAATAATCAGTTTCTTGTCACTTCTGCATGCAGTTGGTTGGCCTAGTTATAATTATTTTTGTAGATTCTCTAATTTTGTTAACTATTGTATTTTTTATAAAATAGTGTTTGTATGCAATGCGATTAATTTAGATGGGTCAGTGAAAAACATATCTGAAGCTTTCGTTGATTTACTCTAAGAAATGATGACCTCTAAAATTGAGAATTAAAAGTTAAAAAAATGGTAATTACTGACCCACCTAGACTAATGGCTTTATAGACTTGCCCACCTAATAATGTTCCTATGATAACGGAAATATAAAGACTATTATGAATAACAATTATATTGTAAGTTAATAACTTTATTTCATTATATAGAATATTGAGTTAATAATGTCCTATTGTTATTGTTTTATTTTGATTTTAAAGATAGGCGTTATTATTTCAAGCAAGATATCCTGTGTTCGTTCTTCAGTTGATTTATAGTGTCCTATCTCGTTTTTATATATATAAATATATATATATATATATATATATATATATATATATATATATATATATATATATATATTGCTACTTTCGTTTTTAATAACATGTTTTTAATAATAAGTGCTACGTATTTTTATTTAATATACCAGATGCTATACAAATGATGCAAACAAGTTTTTTCTACATCCTGTAAAGTTGTCAAAATTGAGATAGTTCCTGTTGCCAGTTCATAGTCGATTTTGTTTTTGTTATAATAGTTTATATCATTGAAGCTTAACAAAACTATAATTATGAGTGATAAGTTTACAGGAGATAGAATACATTTAAAAATATTAAAATTTTATTACGTTAACAATGAGGTGCAAACAACAGGTCCATAACGACATATCCTTATGCGATTAATGTTATCCATCAATTAGGGCTTTCACACAGATTGTCTTATAGAAGGGATTTTGCCACAGTTGCAACACATGAAAGGCGGGTAAAAAACGAGTTGTTACCAGGAAGATGCTGCTGACATATGAAATTTGTCAACACGCATTAGACATTTCCTTGCCCCAAAACACTCTTACAAATGAGAGGAGGCCTGTGCCCAGCAGTGGGACGTATATAGGCTGTAACTTTAACTTAACTTTAAATATGCGTATATCTACTCTCTGAACGTCATTTTTATGACACCGTGGTGACCTGTCGATATTTTAGGGCTGCATTGCAGATGTGAATATTCATGACAATAATTATGAGTAGTTTTCCAAAACAACGATTATTGAAGTCATTCCTATACACTCAGAAAGAGGTCCATTTCCAACATTGAATGGATTACGAGTTCACAATTATACGTTGTGTACTAAGCTCAAAAATAAATAAACGTAAAAAATATTTTGGAAATGAATGTATTTGTCACCAACGTCAAAAGGGACTGTCCGTATGCTATACGATATTCCATAGCACCACTTTTTATATTATTGTCTTTAAAACAAAATATACCGTCGTCAATTGCAGTGTTAGGTTCCTCCACCCACGCCGAAGGCAACTTTACTTATATGTGCATTATTTCAGGTTTATTTACAACTATATCATTAAATCTATATACATATTTATAAATTTTCAAATAAAGTTCGGTATATAATTACTATTAAATTAATTTTTATATATTTTTTATATTTAATAATTACGAGTATCTCACAAAATACTTATCAGAGAGTGACTTGCTGTAAGAAAATAATTCAAGGGCACTTGTGTACTGTAAATAAGTTTTCTTGTTTACCTTTTACGTTAGATAGCCTGAAGCAAAATTGAAAATACATATTGCTCTTTAAAAAATCAATACACATGTACCCCCATTAAGGTAATACAAAAAATGTTTCTACCTATGTCCGATATAGACTTCAAAACCATCCAACAAATTTCGATGAAATTTTTTGCGTTTGTGTTTAAATGAGTCCCTGGATGGTTTATTGTTTATTACATTTGTAACCGGTAGATGGCGCTGTTGTTGAGATCCTGAAATCACCCGTGCGCTGCCGGGTGGATTTCTAGTAAATTATAAAGTTTTTGTAACACAGACAGCTTTGTAACGTATCGTCGATTGATAAATTATAATGATCAATCTCTCTGATGAATGTTGTTGCAATCCTTTTAGTCGATTGCTTTCTGGTACTTAGTATATACAAAAATTTTCACACCATATCGATTGTCACTAGCCTTTTTAAAACGAACGTCTTTCAAGATTATCATGCGTTTCTTAAACGAATTACCCTTACTTAGCAGTAAAGTTGAGTGTATATCTTAGATCCTCATACTGGTGATGCTGTTCCTTATCATCAGTCTGAGATTGTGGTTTAAGATCATTGGATAGATTTTTCACCATAAATAGTTAGTTACACGTCACTCTTTACAATATAGTTCCTTTTTTATTGTTGTTTTTACTCGTATCTCCACACTAGGATTTTTTCCAGTATCGTTGAGGCAGTTTGCAATTTACATACATGAATTTGAAGTTAATATTTGAAGGAAAAGTTTTTTATTCGCTTTACTATCTATTTTTATGATTACGTGTATTTAGGTCGATAACAATAAATAGACTGTTGCATCAATTCCAAATCTATACGCAGGAGTCTCATGTCTGTAAGGTTTTTGCGTCAATATGTTTGTCGAACTACACAGAATGAGTATAGATGTGTTTTCTCTAGGTTTTCACGATATTATTCTCCATTAACGAGGAAGTGATAAATCAGCGTGTAAAATTACAGTTTATTGATTTATGAATTGATGTTGTTCGCGCAATTACATTTGAACCTAAAGACAAATAAAGCAAATATAATTCTAAAAATATTATACGCGTACACATTTTTCTGAGAATACAGGCAACGATGATTTTATTTTATTTTATTAAGTGGTGGTGGCCTTTTTCTACCTGATAAGCTAACAGTCTATCTGTCCCGCTAAGCTGCTTAGGCAGGTCTACTCTTATCACTTACTAGCACTGTGGTATTCTGAAGTTCTTGAGAAAGGTGAAAGGTATTTAGAAATAATATTATTACAATCTTAGTCGCCAGGAGAAACAGCACATCAATAACTTATTTTGGATTTGTGTCAAGGTATGTATTCTCGTCAAATTGTCTACCAGCTTATCAGTAACAGCAATAAATAATCATTTATCTGTCCAGGGTAACGATTGAGGTGAAACTTTTACGTGGTACGGTCACGCTGCAGCTATATTATGGTTGTAGCATGAATGGATCGACCGGGGTAGGACCACGCTCGTTCAGAATGACAGCGTAAAATAGTAGCTTAATGGTGCTGTGTTTCGTATAGTGAGTGTAGAGAAACGGTGACCCTTTTAACTGTAAACGAGGCATTCCATCTTAGTGCTCAGGGTAACAACGCATCTGCATTTTGAATCTTAATAGAGAATAAATGTAGATGTCTATGGGCCACAGCATCCACTTGTTATAAGGTGGACTGATTGTGTGCCTGTTTGTCAATCTTATTCTATTTAAAAAAAAAACGTCACAAATATATAGAGCGCAATACCAGGAGGAATCAAGGCCATATTTTAACCCAAAAACCTTGATTTTTTTAGAATTGAACCAAAGAAAATGTTAATATATATTATGTACATTAATTAACATAAGTCTATATAACACCAATTTGACAAATTCCATTCAGGAACAGACTGAGTAAGTGGCTATTTAGATACAATCTTGTATTTGTCATATAATGTTAATAATATATTGTTATATATATATATATATATATATATATATATATATATATATATATATATATATATATATATATATATCAATGCGGTGAAGTTGACAGCTATTTTAAACTAACTAGTCACGTGACATTATTTAGAAAAA